CATTACAAATTTTTTTTTCGCACATTTCCAGTTAGGAAACACTATTAGATTTGTTTCCTGTATGTAGTAAATACGGTTTTAAAAATAAGTATAGTTAAGTATTAAAGTGAATGCTTAATATCACAACAAAGAAAGAAATTGGTAGTCTTTACAATAAATTTGAATTTAAATTTAGTTTTCATTAAATGTTAAATAACAAATCATAGGTTTTGCTATTTAATCAATTTTGCAGATTTTTTTTTTTAAATTAAAATATACACATGTTTCTTTTTATAGCACAATACATTCATGATAGAAAAAAAGGAAATGTATATGAAACTTTATTTTTGTTTGGTTTTCCTTTTATGTAGTTCTGTTATGAAATCTTATTGTAAAACACGGTTGAACGAAGAAAAATTATCTTCGAAAATCTAAACTATTAAGAAGCTTTTACTTTTTATTTTATTTTATTTTAATAATCGTTTTGGCCAGGTAATAAGTAGGCTATAGATATTTGTTTACATAATATATAATAAAAATAAGGCTTGTCTTTATTACAATAAAGTAATTATAATAATAATATTTAATAAAAATTTTTTACAGATTTTTTTTCCTCATCTGAAAATAGAAAATATTCAAATTTATATGATAAAATAATTTTTCAAACATCTAATTTATTAAAACTATTATAACTTAGGAAATGAAAAACATTTAATTTAATATTCTATACAAATAATTATGATAATACCAGTAAACTTTGTATTGCTACGTTAATGATTTTCTGATTGGTTGCTGCCTTTATAACAAACTCCATGTTAGTTGGATTGTCATATTTTGGAATTCATAAAATTTAGAAATTCCATGAAATCATGCCATTTCATGTATAATTTGCAATATTTAAAATTTTCAAAATCATAATATCCTTATTTAAACTTCATTCATAAACGAAAACGGATGTAAAATAAGGATAATTTTTATCGTAATCACCGCATTCGGGAGTTTAATCATTAATATAAAGGAAACGTTTACAAATTGAGAGATGTTTAATAGAAAAAAAATATATTTTATATATTTAACTTGTAATTGTATTAATTTTATCACATGTTTATACAGTCGACCCCCTATAACACTGTTGATAATTCCGTTTTATATGAATTCCATGTTGTACGAGTCACTTAGATTTTACAAATACGTGAGCCGTTCACAGCCCGGCATACGTATTTGTAAAATCTAAGTGACTCGTATAACATGGAATTCATATAAAACGGAATTATCAACAGTGTTATAGGGGGTCGACTGTATAAACATGTGATAAAATTAATACAATTACAAGTTAAATATATAAAATATATTTTTTTTCTATTAAACATCTCTCAATTTGTAAACGTTTCCTTTATATTAATGATTAAACTCCCGAATGCGGTGATTACGATAAAAATTATCCTTATTTTACATCCGTTTTCGTTTATGAATGAAGTTTAAATAAGGATATTATGATTTTGAAAATTTTAAATATTGCAAATTATACATGAAATGGCATGATTTCATGGAATTTCTAAATTTTATGAATTCCAAAATATGACAATCCAACTAACATGGAGTTTGTTATAAAGGCAGCAACCAATCAGAAAATCATTAACGTAGCAATACAAAGTTTACTGGTATTATCATAATTATTTGTATAGAATATTAAATTAAATGTTTTTCATTTCCTAAGTTATAATAGTTTTAATAAATTAGATGTTTGAAAAATTATTTTATCATATAAATTTGAATATTTTCTATTTTCAGATGAGGAAAAAAAATCTGTAAAAAATTTTTATTAAATATTATTATTATAATTACTTTATTGTAATAAAGACAAGCCTTATTTTTATTATATATTATGTAAACAAATATCTATAGCCTACTTATTACCTGGCCAAAACGATTATTAAAATAAAATAAAATAAAAAGTAAAAGCTTCTTAATAGTTTAGATTTTCGAAGATAATTTTTCTTCGTTCAACCGTGTTTTACAATAAGATTTCATAACAGAACTACATAAAAGGAAAACCAAACAAAAATAAAGTTTCATATACATTTCCTTTTTTTCTATCATGAATGTATTTGCTATAAAAAGAAACATGTGTATATTTTAATTTAAAAAAAAAAATCTGCAAAATTGATTAAATAGCAAAACCTATGATTTGTTATTTAACATTTAATGAAAACTAAATTTAAATTCAAATTTATTGTAAAGACTACCAATTTCTTTCTTTGTTGTGATATTAAGCATTCACTTTAATACTTAACTATACTTATTTTTAAAACCGTATTTACTACATACAGGAAACAAATCTAATAGTGTTTCCTNTGGGACACTTACCTGGCATCTTATCAAATTTTATAAAGTATTTTTTTTTTCTTCTGTAAGGAAGAAAGATTGTGTTTACTTTTCTGTACCGAAGGGTTTATAATCGACAATTGAGAGCCAGAGAGAGAGAGAGAGCGTAGAAGAGGAAACTTCCTCCTACCAAAATCTAATTAGTTTGTTAGCTTTTCAACTTTATTAATTTCTCAGGAAACAAGGAAAATAGAAGGAAAAAAAAATTATAGCACTTCTAATATCAAACCTGTTGCACCAATCAAGTAAAATATAAGATAAAAACAGCAAGCTAACAATAATAAAATAGTGTGAAATGAAATCTGCTTCATTACTCGTTGGAAAGAACTAGTTAAACTGAGACAAAACTAGATTTTGTAGAAAATCCTAGAGAGAGAGAGAGAGAGGGGGGGAGACTCGTTTCAAACTTTTTTTTTTTTTTTTTTTTTTTCTTTCTTTTTTTGCTCTTTCCACTTTGTGACAGTAAGAGGGCTTTTTTTCCAATCGTTCAACCAAGCTCACAATGGGGTGGACAGATGGTGAGAGATGGAGCCCAACTTATCTAGGACAAACCACTTGTGGAAAATTTCAGGGGTGCTCATCCAGATTGGATGTTGGGTCTTCCAGAGTGGTAGGCTAATGCCTTAACCACCTGGTTTAATTAACCACCACAGCTGTCCAATTATGATCTTTATGATAATCATTAAGGAAAGAAAAAAAATGTTTCCAAGTTTGTTTGTAGGTTTTCTTTTGCTCGTTGTTTTTTAAGGTGGTATTTTTTGTTGCCAACTTTCAGAATTTGTTACTCTGAAAGTTGGCAACTCTATAACCTAGTGGGAATTTAATTCTGATTACAGTATAAAATAAAGCTGTTTAAGTAAATTGCTATAATTGTCATTGATGTAGAATTTTATTGATTAATAATCAATATTTTTAAAATATTGATTGCCAATTACTTATTATTTATTGCTCAGTATTGCATTATTTATACAATTAAGGAATTTTTTGAATGTCCCTAATACATGTGTGTGCTTTTTGCATTTATTATATCAGCAATAATTAATTAGTAGTAATATAGATTGCCAAATGTAATATTTGATCATTTCTCTTAATGGATAAGATAGGAGATTACTTTTGTATTTCTTTAACATTCATAACTTTAAAATATTTGAGTAATTAATTTTATATTAATAAGTAATAAAATATTTTTTAAAAAGTATATAAATATATACTTTTTTTTATTTTGTCTGAATTTATAAAATTTTTAAATACAGTATTCAAAATACTGTAAATAAATAAAAGTTTATAATCATTAAATTTTTCAAATTTATAATTAATTACATTATCTGTAAATATACAAGATTTACCTATGCAAATGATTATATAATTTTTCAACTTAGTAAACATGGGGAAGATTAATATTTAAAGCAAATACTAATATTAAATTTAAGTTTTCTTATGATTTCATGGTGCTTTTTATTATTTATCTTGCTCTTTAAATAATTAAACGACTTCATTTCATTACATTCAGACTTGAAAAATATTACTTTAAGTTTTTAAATTCTTGTAAATTGTTTAATTTTTAAATAATTTTTATAATTTGTTCTATTCTTTGAAATAATGATTTGTTTTTGTTTTTAACGGCTTTCTCTTTTGCATTTAATAATTAAAAAATTGTCAATAAAAGATACTTTGTAATTAATCAAAATAATGAATCTGGCTTTATTATTTGATTTATTAATATATATAATTTGGGTTCAGTTTTCTAAAAGATACTTTTTGCACCCTTTTATGGCAGAATAAATAAAATGCAGAGATGAACTAAACAAAGTTCCAAAATATTGTGCTGTTATATGGTGAAGTTATTGTTGGTTTAATTACATTAACTTAGACATAATTGTCCAATAATTTGTCACTTGTTTGGTTTAACTAATAAATCAAGTTTTAGAGATGGTGATAAATGAAGAAATGAGATGAAGTGTAGTGTTTATATGATCTCAAATTTCTTATATGTATATGGTAGTTGGAGAATGTTAACACTTTATAAACTTTAAGTTATTATAGGGATTTAATGTTTTTAATATGAAAGTGGACATTTATGATTCTTGACAAATTAATTTATTTTGAATTAAAATAGCTGTTTATATATAGCACAATATTTTACAAAAATGTTTTAAACGATAGATTTTTAAAAATATTTTTGCTAATGTCAGTTTAGTTATTTCTTACAACTATTATTTTAAAGAAAATAAAGTAAATTTTAAACAATTTGAAAAATTTACTTTATTGCCTTAGCAGTTCTAATGGTATCTGGTGAGATGTGATGGAAATAAAGTTGTAGTTAAGTAATAAGTAATAAAGTTGCATTATTATATATAATTTTTTTTATTTGTTTATTTCTTTAACTTATTACTTCATAAGTTCTTTTAAACTGGTTATAGTTTATAAGAAGTTATGTCCTTTCAAAAACTCAAATTTTGACTTTGTTTTTGAAGGAAAATATACATTAATGAGAAACTTTCAAGATTTTTTTTTTCATTTTATAAAAAAAAAATTAGAGAAATTAATTTAGTTCTTTTTGAACAAGAATTTAATATTTTTTAATACCATAATTAAATTTTAACAAGATTTAATATTTTAACTTTTTTTTAAAATAGGAATTAGAATTTCATGGAGTTATGCGTTTCTACTTTCAAGATGCTGGGCAAAAAGTGGCTACAAAGTGTATACGTGTTGCCAGTTCAGCATCAACTCAAGATTGCATTGAAACATTAATTGAAAAATTTAGGCCTGATATTAGAATGTTATCTGTTCCTGAATATGCATTATATGAAATACATGAAAATGGTGGTATGTTTACTGTTCTAATGATACTTTTTTTATAATTAAAAAAATTGCACCTTAATGACATGCAAATAAATAATTTCTTAGTTCTGGAAACTTTTCATAAATTTTTTTATTTGATAGAATTTTCTTTTAATAGTCATATTAATTAAGGTTTATAATAAAGAAATACAGGTACACCTCGACTTACATCGTTTCGAGTTACGTCGTTCCCGATTATACGTCGTTTGTCAAAAAAGTATATGGAAAAATAAAAATAAAATTTAAGTCATTTTATTCGACTTTACGTCTGTCCGCCACAAATATTGAAGTCGTAATATCACTAGAAAAATGTTTAAAGTGCATAAAATCATATTAAAATATATACAAGTACAGTCGACCCCCCTATAATTACGGTCCCTATAATTACGATTCCTATAAAACTACGAAAAAATTGTGACTGGTATCCGTAAAAAACAGTAAAAGTTCCCTATAATTACATCAAACGTCATCGGGCAGCCGAACTACTTTCCCGCCGTCCGTAGCGCCACGCTACGGAGAGATTTCTATCGTCTGGACAGTATTATATAAATTATATATAAATTAGGTACTGTACATATAATTATATATTAATTATATATAAATTAGGTACTGTATATATAATTATATATTAACTTAATTTATTGTAACTTTATTATAATTA